ATCAATTATTTTTACAGAAAAAATAGAATTAAAAACAGTATAAAACAATTTTATAAATCTATGATAAATACATTAAAATATATATTTAAAGAAAAAACAGAATTAAAATATTAATTATGTTTAAAGAAAAAACAGAATTAAAAACCTTATAAAACAATATTATTAAAAAAGTATTATTAAAAACATTATATCTTAAATAATATTATTTTTTTTAAAACAGAATTGTTAAAACATTATTATTTATAAAAAAAACAGTATAAGAAAGATTAATAAAACAATAATATTTTTTTAAAATTAAGTTAATTAATATATTATATTGTTATTTTGAGAAAGTATATTAATTTGGGAGAAGGAAATTAGTTTTTAAAGTTGTAATATGGTAAATATATTTATATACTCTTTTAGTATAATATATTTAGTATTAAAAATAAGTTACTTATTATAAATAATATAATTTATGTTAGTATTAAAATTAATTTATATTTTAGTATATTTTTATGTGTGTTAGTAAACATCATAATATTTATTTAGAAAATAATAAATAAATATAGCTTTTAAGAAGAAAAAAGTATTTTTTAAAAGATATAATATGATAAATATATTTATATACTCTTTAATAAAAGAATAACTCTAAAAGTATGATTAAATAATTTTTAAGACAATAAGTAAATATATATAATGAAGATGTAGTTTTTTAGAGAAAAAAACTATTTTCTGAAGGCCCTCGTGAACGTGTGAATGAATGGCAGACATATTTTGTAAACTGTTACAAATTTTATATTGAGATTTGGAGTGAAGGAAAGAAAACTATAAACAGTGGTGTAGTCGTAAAAGGAGTTACATACGGTGATGAGGACGGTTTTTATGGGGTTATCACACATATTTACGAGTTAGTCTATAATTATATGGACTCGGAAAATAAAGTTGTCTTATTTTATTGTGATAGGTATGATCAATCTTCTAGAGAAATAAAAATTGATTAAAAAAAATATGACAACGTTGTGTTTCGAATAGATAGAAAGTACAAAGAGTATGACCCTTTCATAATGGCACACAATGTCAGGTGAGTTCATTATGTACCTTATCCTTCAATTACCCCACGTAAACGAGGGTGGTGTATTGTAATCAAATCCAACCCAATGAGTCACATTGATACTGGCAAAGTAATGGAAGATTTTGCATACCAAGATGATGAAATTTCACCTGTTAATGTGGTAATTGAAACTGAGGAGATTATAAGTTTGTGTAATACTGAAGTTGAGGGTCAACAAGTTGACGCAACTATCTTGTTGTCAACAAATCATGTGGAATAAGAGCATGAAGATCTAGGAGAGTCTGAAGACAATAACTTCAGATCCAATGAAGACAATAAAAATTACGATGATGAATAATTTGATTATGTATTATGTAATAACTCATGTGTAATATTATCTTTCAAAATAATCTTGTATAATATTATATTTCAAATATATATTATCTTGTGTAATATTATCTTTTATGTAACATTCATTGTTTAATATTTTTCTTTCAAATATAAAAAATGCCACCTAAGAAAAATGCCTCCCAACAAAAGCCTCACCGTAGCAGGTACATTATAGAGGAGGTGCCTGTTTCAGAAATGTTTATTCCTATGCCACAATTGAGTCAAGTGGAAAATCATCCTACTCCACATTCTACCCCACCTCTTATGCATCCTACTCCACCTCCTATGCATACTACTCCACCTATGTCTGGATCTTTCACTGGATTACTATCCATATCTCCTGGATGCACACCATTCCCGCCCATATCCCCGATAGATTTCATTAGTCCTACTAGATACACACCATATTTTCCTACTGGACCCATTACATATTTTCTTATGCCTTCCATGCAGTCGAGTGGACCCATTCATATGGAGCTAGGTGGATCTAGCATTCCCTGACCCATGCCTTCTGAGGATGATCATGGAGATACCAGTGCTCCTGGAGATTCCAGTGCTCCTGGAGATACCAGTAATGTTCCTGGAGAAACCAGTGCTCAAGAAGATACAAGTTCTATTGAGGAGAAAACAAGGAGGGAGAACATCTTGAAGAGAAATGAGCCGCAAGAAGTTAGATATTATCGTGGCAGACTTGTCATTTGGCCCGACTCTGGATCGTGAGTGTTTATATATGTTTTATATTATTTTAAATTTGAGTTTTATTTAATCAATTCTAACTCAAGATTTTGGTATTTAGGATCTATCCCCATCAGGCAATATCGATCATAACAGGCATTATTAAAGAGAAGTATACAAAATTTTGGCCGAGTTATGGAGTTGTACTTGAAAATGACAGAAAAGATTGGTTTAATGCATTTAAGGTATATTTTTCCTTTATATTTTTTGAGATATCTTTCCTTTATATTTTTTGAGATATTCATGATTCTTTATAGCTTAATTTTGAATTCATACAACAATGTAGGAGAAGTGTTGTTGGGATGATAGAAATGAAGTCCAAATTGAAGAAAATTTTCACTCAAAATATAGTATCCAATTTTATGACACCATGAGGAATGTTAGAACTAAATGGAAAAAAAAGCAACATCCACGTTGGATAGGAGTATAAATATTTCAAGATCTTATTTCCCATTGGAATTCTGAAAAATTTAAGGAAATATCTGAAAAGGCAAAGAAAAATAGAGCATCTGAAGCTGGTGGCTGCAACTACGTAGCGAGTAGTATTAGTGTTACTGAAGTTGCACGAAAGATGGTACGTAAATTAATTTGTTTTTTAACTAATTTATCATTTAGATTTTAGATTACATGTAACTAATTATTTTTTTACTTATTTAATTAGCGTGAAGAGTTGGATAGAACTCCACTTCTTAATGAGCTTGATCTAGAGACTCATCTCAAGAGAAATGGGGAGTTTGTTGACGAGCGCGCAAGAAACACTCAAGTAAGTTTTTCTTATATTAAAAACATCTTATTTATTTCTTTTATATGGAACTAGCTTATTTGAATTATTATAACATTCAAGTGATAATCCCGAAATAAAACAGTTCAAAAGTGCTTATGGGAGCAAACCCACAACTTCATTTCCAAGTTTCTCAAATCGCGTTTGATATTCCATAACAGTGCCATCCTGTTTTAATTTAAATAGTTCAGCTTGGTGGTTTTCATAGGTAGAGGGGCCAAAACGCAATTCCAACGCGCGAGTAAAAGCAAACCAATCTGTCAATAAATTATTCTGATGCAGCCATTTAAACTAGCATAGAGCTTCACCTTTCATATAAAAAGAAATCAAATATAATTTGTTTTCGGGTGGGAGGTTATAAAGACCAAAGAATTGATCAACCTGGAATAACCATTCAATTGGATTTGAGCCATCAAAAAGGGCTAATTCCAACTTGGGTGTGCGAAACGGGGGTAAGGGTGGTATATTGGAGATATTTGGGTACGGTGGTTGAGGGGATAAGAGAATGGTATAAGGTGGTATAGTGGTGAAGGATGTACTGTATGGGGGAAATGACGGTGGTGGTGTAGAATGAAGCAGAAGCGCAACACTTGGGTGCGGTGGTGTGTGGGAAAAAATAACGTGATTATGGTGTGGTGTGTGGATGAGGGATGTCACCATGGGTATCGTGGTGGTGTGGAGCGGACTAGAAGAGGGGGGATGGGTCAAACCTGAAGAATTTGTAGCAGATTGAACAATTGCATATTGTTGTTCGCTTTGAGTAGTGAGTTTGGTGAACAAGGACATGACTAAATCATATCCGGTATTTGAGATATGCCGTTCATTATCCAGGAGGATATGAATTTGTGTGATATGTTGTTTAGATCAGCGATAGCGAGTCTGGAACATTCATCAAGTTGCTATTGTGTTTCTTGCAACGCATTATCCATGTGAAGATGAGAAATTTGGACAATTGCGTTAACAACTTCATCAATGATATCTTTAGGAGAAGGGAGAGTGGGTTTGGGTGGAGCCATGAAAGTAAAGAAGGGCTGAGGTTCAAGGTATGAGAACACCAATATTAGACTATACTAGGTTAAAGTTCAGATTTAAATTGCACAATAGATAAATGATAAAGCAAACTATAATTTATAACTAGGTCTTAAGGACTAAATGGGCCATGGACCTCCAACACAACAATATACAAATTATAAATAAACTATTTCTATTAGGAACACCCTTAATTACCAATAGTAGTCTTTAAATAAAATATATGTTTTTTTCTCTCTAGTGGGCCTATTCCTAACCATTTATGTATCTTTTTAAATAAGAATTAATATTGAGTTTTTTATATTAAATTGGTAGCTATTTTTAATAATATTTTTTTTATTTTTTTTATAATCACTAAATCAACATCTCTAATCTTGAAAATTAAAAAAAAAAAGAAGTTGATATGCAAAAGTTAAATTCAACTAATGCATTATAGAAATCTAATTTATAATCACAAAATCAACAACTCATAAAGGTAATCTTGAAAATTAAAAAAAAATGTTGACATGCCAAAGTTAAATTCAATTAATGCATTATAGAAAACTAACATAAGGTTGTAAAATTGTTTCAACTTTTTTGCCATAAATAATCATCTAAATAACCCCCACTAGCCATGTGAAATTTCAGTCTCACAAGGGGATCTTACAATCCCTGCTATACTTGATGCATATATTTATGACTACTGTACTGAATGGAATAATGATTTATTTTAGGCAATGAAATAATGATGAAAATAACACAACATATAAACATTTTACTATTATAAATATTCAAATATTCCACAATACAAAGGTATTATTATAGACTTACACCAGAAATAATATGCTTAGGAAAACTTAATTGACCACACTATATTATCCTCTTATTACATAAATATACCCAATCATGAAACATCAAATCCCAATCTAGCATGTGTCTTTGCCTCTTAAAGCCAAACACCATAAATACATACATTCATAAATAAATGAATATTTCTTAAATAATTTATAAGATAATAAATAACCTTATAAATGTACATATACTATACACATCTTATAGTAAAACCATATTATCATTATTATTATTATTAGTATTATCAACCTCGAATCTTATTGCGTCCATGTTTGAAGCCACACCATCTTCTAAGCTATTTTCTTCCAAATCCATGTTCCACAAGAATCCATATTCATCATCACATTTGGAACTAATTTGAGTAATAGTACTATTATTATTATTATTATTATTATTATTTTTATTATTTGCTTGAGGAGAATATTGAAGGAGATTATTGATGATGGAAGAATTATTGTTTTGGTTTGGATTTAAATGATGAAGTGTTGTCATGGAGGAAGAAAAAGAATCAATTCTGTTGTAGGGAATAGGGATGGTTTGGTAATTTGTTGGAGATGATGACATCAAAGTTAGGGATGGAGGTGTTGTCTCATATATGAATTCTTGTGTGTTCAGTTTTGAATTGTTGTCTTCTTTGCTTTTGTGAAAGACTCTACACAATACCCAGTCCTCCTGTTATATCAACAAAAATTTGACCTAATTAACATATATACATGTCAACAACAAAATATATTTCTAAATCAACTTTATCTTCAAACCAAACCAAGAATACACTCATCATCAAACCAATTTTTTTACTAGCACTATTAAATATTAGATCAGAAATTTATATTTATTTAACTCAACTATTACATATCAGTTCAATTATTATACTTAACACATATTTTTAAATTTTAATTTAAAAATAAAATATTTAATTAATCTCTTAGATTGTTTGAGAGTTGGTTTTCAGAAAATTTTAAAAAAAAATATTTTGAGAGATCGCATTTATATTTTAAAATGTGTTTGATATTTTTAAAATATTTAAAAATAACATAATTTTATATGTTAATGTACTATTGTTTTTTTTTAAATATCAAATCCATTTAAAAATATATACACAATCCTTCATAATCTTCTCATTTAAAACCTTCAAAAACCAACTGTCAAAAGAACTTTTAGAGTTTATTTACTATACCTTAACCATTTCGAGGGTTAATTTTCTCTCTCATTCTAATGGCAAAAGTGGGTTAAGTCCAGATTATACTAGGTATATAATGAACAGAAAATTCAGAAAATATGTCATGTCTATTTTTGGAAGAATATATGCTATAACTTGTTTGGTCATATCATATCCTACAATGTATAGTAGTGAGATACATATTCCCCACTACTTCACCTAATCACATTGCATGTAACCATTTAATTGCATATGAATAGTTAATATTAATTACAATAATCAAAATCATTTTTTCATACACGCTTAAATATTTAATCAAAACTAATTTCATTGAATGCAAATAATCAAAACTAAATATTTTGTAATATTAACTAAAAAATAATTTTATACTTTTTTCTATTTATAAATATAAATACTCTTCCTATAAAAATTTGGTAGTATGTGAATAAGACTAATTTTATTTTTACCCTTGTGTTTAATATTGATTTTTTATATCTTAAAAAACTAATATTAGTCGATGTTATTATGATGGGAGAATAAAATTAATTAATTAAAACTATAATTTAAAATATAATCTTTATTTAGAGATATTTGTGGATGAGTGATTATAGTTTGTGACAAATAGATTATTATAAGATAACATCTTTTTAAATGACGAATGTTAATTAGTTGTTACTTTTGTTATTGAGATCCCTACAACTCATAATATTCTGATATCACTATATCCTCGTTGTTTCTGCCACAAGCTACCCCGATCGCTCATAATTTTTGAATTGGAATTAAATTTCGTAGATTTTATGCTTTGAAAAGTTATTTTTGTCAACTTTTATATTTGAGTTTAAGTGTGAGGAATAAATCTGCTAACGCCAATAAATGAAAAAAAAACTTGGCCATATAAGAGAAGTGTGTAATCTGAATTCTAGTTGGATTATATTATAGTAAACTTGTTTGTGAAAGAGATCGTTAGATTAAATATGAGTAGTTTAGTCTCACAAAACTTATAAATGAAATTTATAAATGAGTAACCAAAACTTATAAATAAGTAAATGTTTGATATAAAAGAGAGATACTTTATATAGATTATGCATTGAAATCTATTATAGGAGATGAATACTCGTAATAGTAGGTGAAATTATCGATTTAAATATGAGTAGTTAAATTTTACATCACTTTTGAAAGGATAAAATATAGAATATATATAATGTTTTAAGATTTTGGATTGAGATATTGTATCTTTTTTATTTGTGGTCTTGGAGTATTAGTTATATTATTGCTCTAGATTGTTGTATTCAAGTGTGAATGATAAAGTTGTTAGACTTGGCACTATAAAAGGTGGGCGACACGTTTATAAGGAAGACGGTTAGATTCAAGTATCAAGGGTAAAATAGTTTGACTTCGTGGGAATTATAGTAGGTGAGAGCTCATATTTACAAGAGAGATTGTTGAATTCAAATGTGAGTGGTAAAATTGTCTGATTTTGTGGGACTATAGTAGGTTGGAGGCTAACATTTGCAAGAGAGATTCTTGAATTCAAGTATGAGTGGTAAAGTAGTTCAGTTTATTAGGGACTATAATAGATGGGAAGCCTGCATTTTCAAGGAATATTGTTGATTTTAAGTGTGATTTGTAAAGTGGGTTAGATTGGTGGAGATAATAGTAGGTGAAAGGCTCACATTTGCAAGAGATATTGTTGAATTCAAGTGTGAGTGGTAGAGTGGTTCAGCTTGGTGGGGCTAAAACAGGTGAAAGGCTCACATTTGCAAAAGAGAATGTTGAATTCAAGTGTCACTAAGTGGTTTGGCTTAGTGAGGACTATATCAGATGGACGACACACATTTATGGAAAAGTGTGTTAGATTCCAGTGTGAGTGGTAAGTTTCACATCTCATATAAATGTATATAATATTGAATATAGATGTCAGTGTTAGTTTGAAATAAATTGGTTAGTTTGTAAAGACATTTTCTTTGGGGGGGGGGGGGGGGGGGGGGGATCTAAAGAAAGTTTTAAGAGGACTTTACTGAAGTGGGAGAATGTGTGTAAAGTCAAAAGGGCGTGTGGGTCGGGAGTGAAGGATCTTATACTTGTTAATCTCGCTTTGTAAAGTAAGTGGAAGTGGAAGATTCTTTTAGATTTGCCTTCGCTCATATACCTTCTTGTCTAGGAGGAGGAGCTTCTCGAGGATTTGCAGGCCTTAATCTAGGGAGCTGTTAATCATGGTCATGATGACGCTTGGGTGTGGAAGCGAGACGAAATTAGGAGTTTCTCGATTAGTTTTGCTTTTGATAACCTTTTGGCTTTGTCTAGGGTTATCTAGGATTTTAAAGAGTTAGACGTTGTCTAAAGTGGTGGTGTTCTCTTGGCATCTCATTCATAATAGGCTTCTGACTAGAAAGAATTTTTTGAGGTGTCAAATTAGGTCGGGGCCTAGTAGCGGGGGTGTATGCAGTGTATGTTAGGAAAGTGAAGTTGACAATGCATCGTTTTATTTTATGTGAGGTTGCTTCTGTCATATGGTATAGATGTTTTTAAGTTGGCTGGGTGGCCGGGGCCTCGCCATTTTTTGAGTTGTTCTAGGATTTTAATAATGGAAATATGTGTCTTTAAACTGGATTTCGATATTGAATTTTGTGGTCTGAAGCATTTAAAAAATGTGAAACAAAGTTATTTTTAGTAGGAAAAGTAGGTTGAAATTTAATCACTGAATGTCTATGATTATTAGTTTGATATGGAAGTGGTTTCATATCTATACTTCGGGTTTGGCCATTTCTCTTATAGAATTAGAGTGGGATCCGTTTTAGTGGATAAGAGGTTAACGGTTTGCTGGATGGTCAACTGCCCTTCGTTTATAATTTTATATAGATGTTCCTGCCTACGTTATTGCAATTTGCTCTCTCTCCTGAGATCTGCTTTGACCTAAGAATTCAGAATAGATTTCTTAAATTTTTGGATCGTATTTTGTTCCTCCTGGGTGTTGGTTTTGATGATTTTGTCTTTTTTTTATATTCTTTGGCTTATTTTTTGTGCTTATATGTAGTTATGATTGGTGTTCTTTGAGCACTCCTAGTGCTATTTGTTACTTTTGTATGTTTGTAATATTTAATTGGAGGACTCATGGGAGTTAAGAATTTATTTTATTTTATTTTATTCTCTACCTATAATAGATTAAATATTTATTACTTTATGCAGTTTTCTTCACTTATTAATTTTTAGCTAAGCTACCTATTCCGCATTCCCCACGGACGTACATATGTTAAATGATTTTATTTTTATTATTTTATATATTTTTATTAATTATATATATATATATATATATATATATATATATATATATATATATATATATATATATATATATATATATATATATATATATATATATATATATATATATATATATATATATATATATATATATATATATATACCTTTCTTATGAGTCAAATTGAACATTAGGATCATAGACGGTTTCACCGTACGGCCATCCTGGGCAATTGCCCAAGCTCTAATTTTTTTTATAAAAAGAAAACAAAAAGGCAAAAAAGTGAAAGAGAAAAAAAGGGCAAAAACAATTTTTTCTGTTATATATTATGTGAATTTTTGGTTTTTAAATTTTTTGTTCGGATTTAATTTTCGATATTTGAGTTCACGAGTTAAAAAAAAAAGAAAGATTGGATAGATAGATAGATAGGATAGGAAACAAACCTTAGGAGGCATGTGTGGTGTCTCCAACCTAAACTCATGCATAATCCATCCTGTCTTAATCCCATTTGGAGCTCTATTCCTATAGAACACCAATGTCTTCCTCATCCCTACAACTTCTTCACTCATTGGATCCAACACAACACGATCTTTCCCAGTTGCTTTCCAATAACCAGATATAGTTGCCCTGTTTGTTCTATATCCAGTTGCATATTTACGGTCTCGAAAGCTAAAAAAGTACCATTCATTTGCATTAAGCTTTGCCACCTCTGCATGCATATATCAACCACGTGATGGGTCAGTTTCATGGTAATAAATAAATTCCAATAACTCTATATTCACATCACGTGACTATAAGGTAAGGTAGTATAACAGTACTAATTCGTTTTTAGAAATAATTATTGTGTTGGAATCACATGTCTTCTTCTTCATTATGACATCAATTTTTTTTAGGTTTCCAAATTTTCCCAGACATAGATGACACCAACATCGTGTTTCATGACATCAACCACAGTTCTCTTCTAATTTTCAACTTTTAAAATTACACACAACTAACAAGTATAAGGTGGACTATTGTATATGATTAAAATTTTTGTTACAATTAAATAGTAGTAAAGTGAATTTCTCTGCAAAAATATATCTAAATAGAATTTCTAATGGTTTTGTCATATTTTAAACGTAATTAATTTGAAATTTTTACACATAATTTCTACAAATTTAACATGATTCTAATCAAAATCTTTTCAAAATTTTAGAGGTTATGTGTAAGTTAGTTACATTTTAATATTAATTAATATTATATTATAATAAAATAAATAAACATTTTATTTACTTACAATTTAATCATGATAATATTTTAAGATATTTTATGTGATAAGGTGCTTTGTACGCTTTCAAAAATAATAATTTTGTCTCTAACTATAATGTACTTCTTCATTTTTTATTATAAGTAAATTGTAATTTTTTGGATTCAATAAATAATAAATATATTTAATCTAAAAAAAATTAAGATTTAAATTTTAATATAAAATAAATTTTAATTTTTTTGGATTCATTAAATAACAATTGTATCTAATCTAAAAAAAATAAATTAAAATTTAGATATAATAAAGAATGAAGGAAGTATACTCCATATGTTCTAAAATGAATGTTTTTGAAATTTTTTATATTAACAAGTTCAATAAAATAGTCAAGAGAAATGATATGTTTACTAAATTATCATTAATAATTATTTATAAAATATAATGATTTAAAAGTAATGAAATAATAATAATTAAAAAACAAAAACTGAATAAAAACATATTTCTACCTCAAAAAGTAAAAATTTAAAACAATTTTTATTTTGCCAAAACAACATTCATTATTAAACGAAGGAGTAACCGCTCAATCATAAGAACATGCCTTCATAATTTCATAAAACTAAAGAAAACTTAATTCAAACAACTAAAAAATAATATTAATATCAGTATAATTTTACTTGTGAATGAACAAGAACTAATTAATCTTTAGGTAAAAAAATCATGCATGTGTCCTTTTGTGGACAAAAACTAACTTTTCTTATATTTAATCATAAGGAGAAACAGTAACAGTGATATTTCTAAACAAAATAAGAATGATAATTAGTCATAATCATATAGATAGAGAGTGATATCAAACAAAAGTTAATTCATGCGTATGTATATTTATTTATACACGTATGTTTTATTTTATTTTTTTTCATAAATAATACAATTATGTTAAAGACAACAGTTATGATTGCTTGATGAAAATGTATTACTTTGTCAACTTTGTTCAATTATATAATAATAGTTGCCAAAAATTTATATATCTTAAACGTAAAATTGAAGGAACACTCATAACATATCACTAAAAATAAATCACAACATAATTCATTTATATCCTCCAACCACTCACACAATTAAATCACAAGACTATCAACTTATAAACAAAAATAAAATAAAAAAAATCCGAGTCATGATGTATAAAAAAAAAGCATATATATATATATATATATATATATATATATATATATATATATATATATATATATATATATATATATATATATATATATATATATATATATATATATATATATATATATATATATATATATATATATATATATATATATATATATATATATATATAAGTGGTATGAGAATATTACTGTATGGTGTATAGTGATCGTAGATTTTGATTCGTTAGTAGATCAAAATGAAGAATCTTTTATAATATAATTTAAGTAATGTATTGATGTATTTAATTAAATTAAAGTAAATGTTTGTTGTCATATAATTTGTATTTTACTAGAACAGGATAAATATTATCTTCATAAATTGAATGCTTTTAAAATCCGTTTAAACTGGAAAAAGAAAAATGATGAAATAAAAGGAAAAAGACAGAGAAGAAACCGTGTAGAGAGTAGAACTCAAAAAACATCATTAATTTGCAGCTTCATTAATGTATTATAGTACAAGACAACTATATACAAAAGGCAAAAACAATTATACGAGAAAATCTAGATCAATTAATGAAGCATATATCTTATATAAAAATTCATTTTTAAAATAAAAAAATTATTATTTTATTTATTTGCAGAAATTCAGAGTATTCATGAAGGAGAAGACAACACAATAAAGGTTTATGAAGAAACAATAACTTATGTTTTTTTATTTTTTATTTCTTGTAACAAAGACACAAACAAAAGATCCTTTAACAAACAAAATAGATCTTCAAGAAATTTAATGAAAAAAATAATTAAAACTATATAAAGAAGATTGAGAAAATGAATAAAAAAAGTTTACCAGGTAGTTGCCATGGTTCACATATGTGAAGATCAATTTCAAGCAAAGAATGGTTAAGAATTTGTTGATTTGTGATCTTTTTGTAAAGATAGTGACAAACCAATTCTTGATCACTTGGATAAAAACGAAAACCAGGAGGAAGTGAAGCTCCTATGTCTCTCAAACCCATGTTGAATGAATATTTTTGTGGATAATGTGTATATAATAATTGAAGGTTTGGAAATATTAAGGTGTAGGCAGAAAGGTTGGTACCTTGTATTTATATATAGTTAGGGAGATAAAGAGAGGTTCACATTTTAATTACTACAATGTTTTTGTTTGTGTAAAATGGTTAGTTATAGTAGCAAGTTTCAAGATAAACCAAAGTTACAAGAAATCTTTTTCAATATATAAGGGGAGAAGTATGTATATGTAAGATACAAACCCTCCAAAATGCCCCTTTTTTTCACCTTTTTATTATTAAAATGTGTCTTTTCTTCCATTATTTTGAGGAGAAACTGTTATCTAAAGATAACTAAATACGCTTTTTTAGGCATATATTAAAAAAAACATTCTTAAGCTTTTGGACTCAACTTGGGTTGCTTAACGATTAACTATGGTCTCATTCATGCCTTCTAAGTTTTAAGCTTTAAGACTTATTGGATTTTCCACTTCAATGATATACCTCTTAAATTAGAGATTTGTTTTGTTTTTGAACTCTTTTTTTTTATTAAAAAAAGAATTAAAGTGCTTAAAAAAATTAATTATACTTATATAAATTTTTTATTAAATTTTCATGTTTTTTATATTTGTAAAACTTTTATAGATTGTTAAATTTTAATCTTTTGATATAAAAGGCATTTCTTTATTATGTTTGTTTTTCTCAAAATAATAAGGTCCCTAGAATAGTCGGGTTGTTTAATGAAATGTTAAGCGTGACATAATCATGAGACCTCATTAAATATAAGGACATTATTCTTAAATCATACATAGTAGAGCTTTATTGTGAAATGCGATAACATTAAAGCATTAAAACTATTATGTAGATAAACTGATGATCACATTTCATGGATCATGGATAAGGAGCTATCGAGTCTTGACATATGTATGAATATTAACAGTAATATTTATATTGTATTGAGCCGCTATGAGAATACTACATAGAATATTATGCAAAGTGTCATAAGTTATTCTCATGGCGATAAGTGGTGTATACACCCTTCGACCTGAAACCACTATGGACCCTAGATGTAGAGTCAAGTACTTTATTGTTGATCAAATGTTGTTCGTAACTGGATGACCATAAAGACAGTTGATAGGTACTCCACAAATCATGTTAAATCACACGAGTGACCTAGATGGAATTTGTTCATCCTGCATAACATGATAAATGTTTAAGGGTCTAATATTAAACTAAACAAGAGTTGAAGGAAAATCGCAATTCAAAATGCAGCGAAAATTAAAATTTTTCTTTAGTGATCCTTAAGAATGGGCATGGTCAGTGATAGAAACTATTATCTCTTGTGGCGATTTAGACCTTTGATGTTGTGATCATGAGCGTTGATGAAGAACAATGAATCTACTCAGTCCACACGAACAGATTGCTTCCGGTCACAGTGCTAGATGCTTACTGACGAAAACTTTGAGTGAGAGAGTGAGAGAAAATACAGCTAGGGTTTCAGGACCGAATTTCCATCAAGTAAAAATGCTTCAGTACAAGAGTTCTATTTATAGAACCACTTGTGTGGGCTTCAAGCTAAAAGCCCAATTAAGGCTGCAAGCTAAAAGCCCAATTAAGCCTACGGGCATCTTACCTTATGATGTACCATATATCCCTTAAGCGTGTGGTACCTTACCATATTTCGTATTCCACTTAAGTGTATTGTACCTTACAGTGTTCTACAATTCTCTTAAGTGCACCGTACCTTACGTGTTCCTTATTTATTCTATCTCTCATCAACATGTCCTTATGTGTGTGACCCTGTAGGTTCTCGCGACATTGGAAATTATATTAAATCACATATGTAATATAATAAATAGTGAGCAGTATCTAGCAACACATTACTGCTACCCAAGTCACGGAAATGTCATGTGATTTGTCAAAATATTTCAATGATGATATTTATGCATACAATTACCCTTTTGCCCTTATGTATATATTGAACACAAAGCATGGACCGTGTCACCCTTATCCAGTTCAATATTGAGCCCTTAGACATTTATCCTGTTACGCGAGATAGGCAAATTCCATCTAAGTTACTCATGTCCCTCAACATGCTTTGTGAAGTACCCATCAACTGTCTTTATGGTCATCCAGTTACAGATAATGTTTGATCAACAATAAAGTACTTGACTCTACATCTAGGATCCATAGTGGTTCCAGGTCAAAGGGTGATATACATCATTATCACCATGAGAATAACTTATAACACTTTTCATAATATTCTATGTAGTATTCTCATAGCGGGTCAATCCAGTATAAATATTACTCATAATATTCATACCTATGTCAAGACTTGATAACTCCTTATGCATGATCTATGAGATGTGATCATTAGTCTATCTACATAATAATCTCAATGATTTAATGTTATCACACTTCATAATAAAGCTCGACTACATATACTTTAAAAACAATGTTCTTGTGTTTAATGAGATCTCGTGATTAAGTTACACTTAAAAATTTATTAAGCAGACGAACTATTCTAGGGACTTTATTATTTTGGAAAAGCAAACATAATAAAGAAATGCCTTTTATTATTAATAAATAATTTGATACAAGTACCAAAAGTATTATCCTCTAGGGCTTACACCAACAAGGGTGACACGGTCTATGCCTTGTGTTAAATATAAACATAAGGGCAAAAATAATTGTATACACCAGTATTATCACGATAAGGGTTTTGTCAAATCACATGACATTTTCGTAACTTGAGTAACAATGATGTGTTGCTAGATACCGCTTATTATTTATTATGTTAAATGTGATTTAATATAATTTGACAACGTCACGAGAACCTACAGGGTCACACACATAAGGAAAGATTGATGAGAGATAGAGTAAATATGGAACACCGTAAGGTATAGTGCACTTAAGTGTGTTATAGAACATTGTAACATATGATGCACTTAAATAGAATACATAATATGGTAAGGTACCACGAGCTTAAGTGAAATACAGTACACCATAAGGTATGATGCACATGCACTTAAGTAGGATTTTTGGCTTGCAATCCATAAATAAGTGCAAATTGTAGCTATTTTTGTATATACTTTTTGTTGCACTTATCGACTATTTATTGTTAATTTCAGTTGAATAAACCCGACTTTTGTGTAAATAAGTATACTTAGTGTATAATTGTATTTATAATTTATTTATGTATCATTTGATAGTTTTAATGTCTTTTTGTAGGTATTTTTGCGCATTTGGAGCATCGAGGAATAAGATGTCGGAGGCACAACCCCAGATAGGCATTATTAGAAGAAATCAAGAAAATAAGTGTTGCAAACGGGGCTAAGTGCGGTCAGTGGGCGCTTAGCGTGCCCTTGGAGGTGAAGAGGAAAATTTGGAAGAGGAGAGCATGCTAAGCACGATCTGAGCTCGATTAGCGCACTCTAAGGAAGTTTAGTGAATTTAAGTGAGGTCCGCTTAGCGCGGTATGCGGAATTTTTTTTATAAACTTCATTTTAGTTCATTTTTAGGTTAGGTTTTGGGGAACTTTTTTATTCCCAACTCCATCAATCTCCAATTTTGTTAGGATTAGCTTAGATAACAATTATGGAGCTTGCATACGGATGATCCAGGGTGGATTACTCTTCGATCGGCGCTTACAAATTGGTAGATCTGTAGTTCATTTCTCTTTTTCTTTATGTATTCTCTATTGGTTGAGTTTGTATATGTATCTACTTTGATCTTATGTATATTTGTCGCCCTTGGTGTTATAGAAAACTTGCTTTACAAATCTCTATCAATTGTTATCCTGGATTTTTGCTCTGTGCCCGGGATTTGGGTAGTTATAGACATATACTGCTTGAATTCTTATCTAGGATGATAGTTTATTAGTTTCTGGATTCTAGAGATAGATTTAGAGCTGACATTCACTTGGGTGTCTGTGATTGATGCCTCTGTGTTAGTTGTGTCTCTCTGAGAGATTGTCGATGTGATTAGCATGGTTTACTTCTATGTTGTTGTGGTGATTGAGAGATCGCTACCGAGGTGATACAGTCGGTCTCTCAATTTGGGTTAGAAATGACTTAGGTTTTGAGTGATACATGGTGATATTGAGGAGTATTGTATGTTGAGTATAACAGGTCGATAGGTTTAAGTCTGTGATAAGTGGATTATATGCATGCTTGATAAGTTATTCCTTTTTCCTTTTTATACATTTAATTTTTGTTGATAACTTTTACCCTTTCCATTCAATCCCTAAACTCATTAACGAAAGATTTGTCGAATGGTGACTCGATAACCAATCTCTGTGGACACGATATGATATAACATATATATCACCCGGGAAAATAATATTTTACTTTTTGCTTGTCGTTTTACCGCTTCAGCAAAATAGGGCCGCTGCCAGGGATTGGTTTATTGTTTCGCATCGCGATAGTTCTTTTGTTTTTGAGTTTTGTAATTAATGTATATATTGTATAGAAATTATGCATGCACTTGTTTATGTTTACTTGTGAATTTATTTGTTTATGTTTACTAAACTAGTACATATTTTTGATACTTGTAAATTTAGTGTATATATTTGTTTCTCTTCACTGTTGCCAAAGATGTGTTTAAATGTGTAATTCTGGTTAGAGCTCGAAGATATTTGAGCGAAGGCAGGAGTGAAGCATTTGAATCGTCCTAAGCAACGTGTGGTTTGTAAATATCAGGCGTCGAGCTTATAGCGTAAAACAAGCGCTTGTTGGGAGGCACCCCAACGGTTTTGTATTCTGTATATATTGTGTAGGTTTGTTGGTGTAATGAAGGCTTGGTGAAAATGCAGTAGCTTTGATGGGTTTTTTTGCATTTTCCTGAGCGCGCTTAGCGCGCTCTGTGGGCTCTTAGGGCACTCTTCTATTTTCAACCAGTGACTTTTATTTGTGTCACTTTGCTTCCTTCCTTTTTCCCACTCCACCAATGTTGTTTAGCTGTAGTTTAGGTAGTTAAATACAATTTCCTAAACAAATTTAACTCGGACT